CAATAAATACATATATATAGATATACATATAGATATATATAGATATATATATATATATAGATATATCGAGTTAAATATATATATAAATTAGTTGTTCCTTTTTATAGTAATTACATCTGCATTGTCTCTTCTACAAAAAATAAAAATAAGAAATGGTAATTTATTTCTAAATTAAATTTAGGGTGGAACTTAAACTGACTGTACAACTGTTGGGTGTTTTAAATCCTGCAGCTGTATTATTTTTAGCTCATTATTTTTTACTCGTTTTGTCCAAATATTTGTTCACAGAAAGGCTGTGAGGCACATTGTGCAGACGACCAGTTCCGGTGTCACAACAACCTCTGCATCTCACTTAAATGGGTTTGTGACGGTCAAGAAGACTGCAAGATGGGAGAAGATGAAAAGGGTTGTCAAGAAACAGGTGAAAGCTTGGAAAATACCTACCAGCTTCCCATATTTTGTAAAAGTCGTTTGGGATTATTTTAGATAATATTTCTGAGTTGGTGGTTAGAGCATTTTAATATAGTTTGAAAACATTTTGCTGGGTAATTTAATTAAATGGCAGACTTTTTGATGTTTCTTCTTTTTTTTTATTATGATGGACCAACATAAATTAGAAAAAAGAATAGATTAGTGACAGGAGAAGAACAGGAAAACGAACAATCTCGCAAATAATTATGTTTTACCTTGACTATTGGTACCAAACAAAACGTGTACAGGCTGATCTGAGTTTTAATTGTAAACCAGCTTCAAGACTGTATGAACTGATCTGATGGCATCTGTGCCACTACATAACATTGCATAAATAGTAGATACAATGTCATGTTTGCATAGAGCACACTCATTGTTTGATTTATCCTTCAGCTCTTGGGTCAAAATGACCCATGCTTCATGAATCATTTTGACAATGGACAGCAGAAAGGTTAAAAGGCTGTTATTATGTTCTACATTTGATCTAAATTGATAATCCAGTTGTATAAAACAGCAGAGAAAGAGCCTATTGCTCGACGATTTCAGTAAATTGTATGGCAACATTTTCACTTCTAAACATTTAGCGAAATAAACTTAAACATTGTTTTACCATGCCAAAGTTCTTGTATAAAAAGATCAAACTTGATCTGTGTGAGTATAAACCAAAATTTTAAGAGACCAACAGAACGAAAAGGTCATAGAGGCTTTTAGAAAAGAATAAATAAATAAAAAAACATCTAACAATCAGTGCATGATGTCATGTTGGTTGCAGGCAGAAAATGAAATAACCTGCAGTGCAATATGAGCAAGCTTTAATGTAAACAATATTTAAAAGTTTGTTTTGAATCTAGGAGTGACAAATAACCACTTTATGCATCAGCATTACATCAGTTTAGAGAACAAGGAAGAAAAAAAAAATAGGTCACATGCAATTTCTTGATGCAGACAAATGTAAATATGTGCAAAATATAAAATGTTCTAAAACGTTTCTTTTTTCCAGTTGTCCCTTCTTGCTCTGTGAATGAGTATGTGTGTGCCAGCGGAGGCTGTGTGTCAGCCAGCCTGCGGTGTGACGGACATGACAACTGCCTGGACGGTTCAGATGAGGTCAGGGCAGCTTCACATGTTTCAAAGAAACAACACAATATTGCGTAACAATGCGTCTTTAAAATGGACACCACCTCAGCATAGAGCTAATTCACACATCAAAGATATGTATGTTAAAACAACTGTGTATTTTTTTTCCTCCTAATTAATGTTTGATGATTGTGTCTTTGTGGACAGGTGGGCTGTGTGAAGGAGTGCAGAGAGGACGAGTTCCTGTGTCTGAATCGTGCTCACTGTATCCCCAGGCGCTGGCGCTGTGACGATGTGTTAGACTGCATGGATCACAGCGATGAAGAGAACTGCAACCATGGTAGGACAGCATGACTTGAAAATAGAATGACTTTTGAGCAGAATTTAACAATAAGACTGAAAACATACATTGAAATAAGACATGTTAAACACAGTAAGAGCAAGAAATGCAAACATGTATTTAGACGTGGTTTTTGGGAGTCAAAACGCCTCCCACTGCCTGGATCACAGTAAACTGATCTGCCATTGTAATCATATAATGAACATTTTTGTATCACACTCTACACAAGTTGAATGAGCTTCCCTATCTGTTACAGTGATTAAAGTCATGGCGACTTATCTATGTAATTGCAGGAGCATTTTTCTGCCGGGCTGATGAATTCATTTGTAACAACACCTTGTGCAAACTCCACACATGGGTGTGTGATGGCAAGGACGATTGTGGCGATAACTCTGACGAAGACATAGACATGTGTGGTAAGTCCCAAGACCCCTATAAAAGAATTGCTTTATACGTGTTTTTGTATTTATTTTTCAAGATTTGTTTTAAATTTACAAAAAAAAAAAGCACTCAGTAATTGTTTCTCCTGCTCTTCAGTTAAGCTTCCTTGCCCTCCTACAAGGCCCTTCCGCTGTAGAAATGACCATGTGTGTCTGCGCACGGACCAAGTCTGTAACAAATTGAATGACTGTGGTGACAACTCAGATGAAGAGGAGTGTGGTGAGTACAGAGAGCACGGGGAGCACAGAGCTGATGCTGCTCTAAGCAGTTGTTTTGCATTACATTACACAGTAATTATAAGACAACTTGCATATAATGATGTCATATTCTAATTATGCACTTTTCTTTAATAAGCTAGGCAGCAGATACTGAGTCATACAGGTGACTACTAACAATTGTGAAATTGGTGCAAATCAAGATGAAACATTGGAGGAATGTTTCTTATTGCACACACATGATGTGTGCTAAATGTGTGATATATATATATATATATATATATATATATATATATATATATATATATA